GGGGGTAAAATAATAATCTAGGAGTACTTTAACTCGTCAGGGGGGTAAAATAACTTAAATAGGAGTACTTTAACTCGTCATGGGGGTAAAATAATAATCTAGGAGTACTTTAACTTGTCAAGGGGGTAAAATAACCCGGACAGCGGTAAAATAAAACGTATGGGGTAAAATTTTACTCCTTTCCAGGTTATTTTACTCCTAGACGTTTTATTTTACCCCTAAACATTTTATTTTGCTCAATTCTGAGTATTTTACTCCTTTTCTAATCACCAGTGGTAGCAAGTGTAATTGAAATCTGAATTGACCGCCATGTTGGAAAGTTCGTCTCTCTTCCGATATAGGTCAGACGTCCAAATATGGATGCCATGACCCAATATGGAAATTGTAGTAAACATGGCGGCATCAGTAGTAATACTATATTTGGCCATGCAGGCCATATATAGAAAGGATAATTGAGATAACATCACGCGTGATCTGTCATGGCGGTCGTTTCTAATAATTTCGTAAAAGAGTTTATGCATGGGTAAGGATTCGTTTTTTCAACAATTATGCAATATTTTGATAACATTATAATCATATGAGGCGTGAATAATATGCAATCTTACAGATTAACACTTTTGATTTTGCTCCATTAGTTGGCATAGGACCGCTTCGTAGCTCTGACGACGCAATATATAAAAAAAATCTCTCGTCGTCAGAAAGCTACGTTATCGCAGTTAGGGATCTGCTAGCTCTTCACAAAAATAGCACCATTGTATGTAGATCTACAAATAGCATGTGATTGAATTATTTGCATATATACATGTATAATGTAATTGATAGGCAAATGATAAACTCCATCTGCAAACAAATAAATTATTGCATATATACATGTATAATGTAATTGATACGCAAATGATAAACTCCATCTGCAAACAATTATTATTATTGCATATATACATGTATAATGTAATTGATACGCAAATGATAAACTCCATCTGCAAACAAATATAATTATTGCATATATACATGTATAATGTAATTGATACGCAAATGATAAACTCCATCTGCAAACAAATATAATTATTCAAAGACAGTTAAGAAAACAATTTGCCAAGCGTACACTTTATGGCGCATAGCATCAAAATGAGCGATGAATGTCTGTTCAAGGGAAATAACTCTAAACTTTGTTTTGTTGCTTTATCTTTTTCATGGAAGTGGGAATAATACTCCACGCCGGGAAAAAATTGGTTCTAAAATTGAACTGTCCTTCGCGATAATAATTGTTGCAGTGTTACTCGTTACCTTAAGGTAATAGGATTGTGTCACCATTTCTCAGTAGAATTTCTTCAAATTTTGTAGTTATATTGCTTCGAAGTAAAGAAAACTTCCTATTTCCGTTTATCAATACACTCCAATGACCTTAATATCACCAATTGTATCTGTTTGCCAGGTGGTATGGATGAACCCCCAGAAAACTGTACTAACACGAATGGATCACCGGATTATAGATGACATGCGCATTAGTGTAGAAAGACATCTGTTACGTGAATGGAATCTCCATATAAGGAGTGTGGGTTATGAGGACAAAGGCGAATACACGTGCAGCATTAATACAGAACCTGTTCAGGAAAAACACGTGTTTCTGGAGGTACAAGGTCAGTGGTATTTGGCAGTTTTTATTTTATTTTATTTTATTNTTTTTTTTTTTTTTTTTTTTTTTTTTTTTTTGGGGGGGGGGGGTAATTTATTGGGGTTTTGCGATACATTTCTTCATCAGTTGATTTTCGCACATTGCTGGATTACTTTTTCTAAACGTCCATTGTAAAAAAAATTATTTCTGTAAATAGAATGTTTCATAATATCTTTAAACGATAAATCCACCAACAAACGATAAATATCAAAATACGACCGATATTAAAGTCTTGCCATTAGATGGGAACATATTACTGTAATTCTGTTAAGATGATAATGAACGCATTCTTGCTGGACATTAAAGTTACAACATTCAGTTTCTACGAAGCAAATATTGTATCTGGTAATTAGGTTTTACAAAGCTTACACTGGTCTAGTATTTTCTACAAAGAATTGATATTCAGTTCTTAAATAAAAAGGTACACTGGTTTTGCAGTTCCCAGAATATCCACGTTGTTGTTAAGTTTCTTGTAGTTTAGTTTTTACAAAGCTTACATAACTCGAGTATTTTCCAAGAAATCGTCATCTTCAAAGCAACAATGAGCTTGCGCTTTCTTGGTCTCGAAGTTCAAACAAAGCTACAACGTAACCCTGATATTGCAGTCACTTGGTCGTGAAGTTGAAATAAAACCAACCTTGATTTTGCAGTTCCTTTGTCGTGAAGTTAAAGTAAAACTAACCTTGTTTTTGCAGTTCCTACAAAGATAGTTGACGAGTGGTCAAGCCGAGACATGACGGTCAGCGAGGGGGACACTGTAGAGCTGATCTGTAACGCCACTGGTGTGCCTCCCCCTACAATCTTATGGTACAAACAGACCCAGTACTACGACTCCGCCGAGAAGAAAGGTAGTTGTCCGACCGACCGGAGGTTCTATAAAGGCAGTGGTACGCCTCACTCACTCGTTACAATGTAGGCTCCCTGTATTTGACGCAGTCCAAGTAGGCGCACTTTATAGCTAAATCTCCATGTCCTGACACTTCGGTACACAGCGTTTTCCTAGCGAGTTACAATTTTTGAATTTTTAGAAGGTCTCAAGATTTAAGTATTGTAGAGTATGTGACATCTACAGTCTGTATTCGACCGCGTGTCTTTTTTATATAAATGTATATTCCCCGAAACAAATCTGATTAAAATCGAACCTTTCACTCTCTTCCATTATCATTTATTATGACGTATACTATGACATCACTACTTCAGAGGAACCGTTTTACCATTCAACGCGACACCTTAACAATATTTTATTTTAGGGAAAAAAATGTGCGAACATCTGTACGAAATACAGTAAAACCTCTTTATACCGCCGCAATCTGTTGAGAGAAATGTTGGCGTTGTACCGAGTTTTGGCGATAAATTAAGTGTAACGTATGAATACAGTTTTTTTCTTCAGAAAATGAGTATAAAAGGACCTTGAAATATTTTAGCGATTAGCGAGGTTGTTAATGAAATATGTGGCATTATATCGAGGTTTACCGTATAAACATGTTTATTTATCTGCGTTTGACTGACAGTCCCCCGATTATGACTATTGAGACAATGTTATCAAAGCCTGTTGCAATGGATCGTTAGAGAACAGATTTCAGAATAAGAATGATGTACCCAGCCATATTTGATTTTTCCGGACAGCTACTGTTCAGTGATAAACGAGGGGCTGAGTTATCGAGGTTTTAAATATAGTGATAAACTAGGGGCATTATATCGAGGTTTTACTAACAGTGATACACTAAGGTGAAGGGTGTGTGTGGTTATACAATAAGACGCCCTTTGTACTTCCATCCGGGTCAACAAGTGTGATTAATTTGATTAAACTTGTTTTATATTTTTTGTGAAACGAATAGAATTTCACTTTGCCTTGTATTTTGCCACAGCAGAATATATAAACATTATCAGAATACTATTTCTGCAAGTACTTAACAAAAAAGCTTTTGGGTAAGCCACTAGAATTCTTTCGATTTTGGGTATGCAGTTCTAGTATATAAATCATGAACTAAGTCAAAACTTATTTCAGTTAAAATATATTTTAGATATATTGCTGATATCTGAAACCTCACTCAGTAGAAGTGTACTTAAGTAAACCCGAGAATGCAAAATGTAATATTTGGTAATTCAAGTCTAAGAAGTCATCAAAATCAATTTTCAATTTTCAAATAAAAAGATCTCACTTCTTTGTTCTTAAGAGCGCTAAAACGAGACATTTTCAAAAGAATTTTGCCATCAAGGTTACGAGTATATGTGAAATAGTGTTCGTAGTAACAGCTAGAAGGATAAAGGTCGTACTAAAGAGAATGAAAAAAAAATACGGAAAGATAAAATTTTTCTGGGGGCGATACATAGGGGAAATCAAAACTGGTTTATTATTTACTGTAATATACATCAGATAAAGATATACAGGGGATGTCTTCTATTAATCGCTCGACTCCGTTTACTTGTAAACGTACGTACGGTGTATAAAATTGGCAGTGACATCATGAGTATTTATTATAAAGCAAATTCTTGAGGGACGTGTGTGTAGCTCCGAATAAAGAAAAACAAACGTTCAGATGAAATGAATTGAACTGGTGGATCTTCACTTTAAGTGTAGCTCCGAAACCACTTGCTGCAAAAAAAAAAGATCTTAGATAAGTACAAATATCATGGTTTGAAGGCGGTAATATATCAATTTATTGTATAATAAGTAAAAACATATGTTTTTGTGAGTGAAGGGATTGTGCATAGGTTTTCTTCAACACTCTTATATAAAAAGATATCATCATCATCATCATCATCATCACACATACTCTCATATGCAGACAAAGATGTCATCCTCCTCCTCCTCCTCCTCCTCCTCCTCATCATCATCATAATCATCTCACAATCAGTGATGATTATTTTTATTGTATACCTAACTACATGTCGTAACATTGTGCATCTGGTTTAAAATAATTTATTTCACATCTAATGTGCAAGTTCTTCCTTATCTAACATTATATAAAGGGGCGTAACTCTAACTACAGGTCCATTTGCACAAGTATATACTCATGTCAATAATACATTCGATTATAAAAAAGTACGTTACCTTTCAAAACAATGTAACGCGAAAATTACCAATTCAAGTTATTTTATTCCATCGTTAGGTCCCGATATTCTGTCATATTTTTGTAAGGTTTATTTGTTAGTAAATTTATTTATACGTATATGGTAACATTAACATAAAATATATTAAATATTGTGTCATTATTTAATATGCAAATTCACTTTCTCAGAACCGAAACTTTATAACATATAGAATGCAAAGTAGCAAAAAGTCCTACAAGCAAAAAATCAGTCTCAGTAAAATAAAGCGAGTTACTGTATACGTACCTGTATTGATGACGGCAGTAGATCTAGACTCCACTGCGTGGTTCTGAAATAGGAAATAATTTCACGGTGTTGGAATATTTTCGTTTATTTCGCATCATTTGCGCTCTCGGACCTGTTGATACACAACACATTTATATATTGTAACCGCGAAAATTTCCAGAATAAAAAAAAACATCTGTAGGAGTGACAAAATGCGATGATTTCGATTAGAAAATTAAAAAAACGTTTTTTAAGAACATAAACACGAAACTTAAGGACAATAGTTTCAGATGAACGTTACATTTCACGCTAGATTTTCCTGCCAACTTTGTATGTTGTATATAAAATCATGTAAATATCCCATTGGTGACTTTTTGTTTTTTTGTTTTTTTTGTTTTTAGTAAAACATGTACTCAGATGATTCAAAAACAGAATTATTGTTCAATCGTATACTTTGTTGTTTTGACGGCGTCAAATACCGGAGGCCCCTACGAGATGATCGAAATAGAACTTACATTTATCTTTAACTAATTATAGTGTCAAAAATCATTTAAATTGTACTAATGATATTTATAAACAATAAGCCTGTTATTTATCGATATTAATAAATGCATACTTTTTGTCAATTGTTTTACAATAAGTTTAATGTTTATATTATCAAAATGACATGCCATAATTGATAAACTTTGCTAGGATTTGTTTTACTTCAGACTAATGTTTGTCTTGTCAGTGTTTGTCAGACCAGTGTTTGTCTTGTCAATGTTTGTCTTGTCAGTGTTTGTCAGACCAGTGTTTGTTCTGGTCTATTTGTCAGGACCTCTGTATTTTGTCCCACGTGATGTCTGTCCGTCTGTGTCCATATAGAAGCATGTTTGGCATTGCCTATGTATGTACATGTACAAGTATTGTAATAACGTTAGCTCATATAGTTCGGCAATACTAGTTTGTCCTAACTCTTTACAACTCGACTATATATATCCGTAATGTGTGTTTGTCCTTGGTTGTATGACCTTTTGCCAGTGTATCCGCAATTGTCTATTTTGTCTTAAGTAAATATGTTTGTGTTTATCTTTTACAATCATTGTTCCTGATGTATTTGTCCCGCTCTATGCTCAGCCATCTGTCTCACCCACCAGTGTTTGTCCTCACCCATCTGTGTTTGTCCTCAGACACCTGTGTTTATTCTCACCCACCTGTGTTTGTCCTCAGTCACCTGTGTTTGTCCTCAGCCACCAGTGTTGTCCTCAGCCACCTGTGTTTGTCTTAAGCCACCTGTATTTGTCCTTAGCCACATGTATTTGACCTTAGTCACCTGTATTTGTCCTCAGTCACATGTGTTTGTCATCAGCCACCTGTGTTTGTCTTAAGCCACCTGTATTTGTCCTTAGCCACCTGCATTTGTCCTCAGCAACCTGCATTTGTCCTCAGCAACCTGTGTTTGTCCTCAGCCACTTGTATTTTTCCTTTATCACTTTCTTTTGTCTGTGGTCACCCGTATATTGGTTCTCGGTGACATGTGATTTTTGCTTTGGCTACATGTACCAGTGTTTGTTCTCCGCTACCTGTAATTGCCTTCGATCACATGTATTTATCGTTGCTATTTTTGCCGCTGGTTACATCCGGGTATCATTGTAGCCATTGTGGAGCCTGGCGAGATTCTTGTCATACACAACGTGTCCCGGTTCTGTGACGGCACGTTCGAGTGTGTCGCTTATAATGACGTAGGCCATTCTGTATCCCGAGAAATCAACGTAGCCGTCGTCTGTAAGTACATGAAAAATGACGTAATCATAGAAAGGACCAATTTTATCCCGTGCGGAGCGTTCTCTAAAATATATTCGTACATACATGTTTGTTTCTATTTCAAACATGTGTACTTTGGTTTGTAAATACCAATTGTATTTACATTACATAATGATTTTTAATTAAAAAGTATTTCGCCGGAAAAATTGAAGTGTACACAATTTTTGACTTTCTCGTTTCTATTTTTAGTTCCACCGGAAGTAATGTTGCGGGTCAATCGAATAGGTCAGTTTTTGGGAAAGGAAACAATTCTTGAATGTATAATCAGCGCGTCGCCAATGACAACGAGCGTATGGCTTCGTAATGGTAAAGAATTGAAGAACAGGTCTGGGAAGTTCCGAACGGAAGGTTACAGTGAGGGCCCTCACACCGTGACCCTCAACCTTCATATCATTAACATACAGCCGGAGGATTACGGCATCTATAGTTGTTACGCCTCTAATGCATATGGAGAGGACGTGGAAGAAATGGTCCTTTATGGCAAGTGACATTCATTTCGTTTTCAAAGTAACTGATAATTGGCATTTTTGAAATTGAACAGTTCCGCTCTTGACATATATGTACGTACCTTCTGTACACCCTTAGAACCTTACTCAAAATTCTAACGGCTACGTTTCTTATGATCTGTCTGTACAAGAACTTAAGAGAGCGTAATCCCCGAGATTTCGAATGTCGTGACAAAATCTAAGTCTTGACGCGACACCGTGCGGATAATACAAATAGACTAGCCTGATGTTTTGGATGAAGAGCATTTAGGAATCGCACGGATGTCTAACAGTAGAACCGACAGCTCTAAAGTTGGGTGTAGCTCTTTCGTAATCTTCAAAGGACATTGTCAGCCTACTGTGTAGCTATTGGTCTATTTATAACTGAAACCAATCAAACAGCTAACCGCGTGACTTCAGTTTTGTCATGACAAATGTCAGTGGTGCAGGGAAGGTATGTGTATCAAGCGCAAATTGAGCTTCCATTTAAAATTTGGTTAACTTTTTTTCTATCGCTAACCAGCAGTAACATGGTTTGGTATTATTTCGATTCGTCATCCGCAAATTCTGACGTCAAGCTGTTTTAATCGTACACTACAGGTTTTTAGTTCTAACATTCATTAAATGTTACTAAGATTTGTAAGATTATATTTCCCGCCATTTTGTTTATTTGTCGGTCGTCTGCTTTACATTTCCAGAGTACCCACGCCAGTCTCCGTCCCGCCCCCGGGATATCGCCACAGAGACCACGAGAAGTGTGTTCCCGTCGTCCAGGACATCGTACACCGTAGCGCCCGGGGGTATGCTCCTCAACGGAAATAATGTCCTTAGTAAGGCTACAGAAATACCTTAATTGATTTATAAAGGCATCATATATTGTTTCCTATTTAAGGAGTTTGTGACCTGGCCTGACCTTTCTATTTTACACTTCACATTCAATAACCAATCAGAAACCTCATTACATCACTCCCACGTTAAGGGCTTGTCACATACTAGCGATGTACCTCGCCGGAACTAAACCAGAGCAACAAAATTAACAACGGCGAGAACATCGGCAGAGCTTCAGCGAAAAAGCACCTGAAAAATCCAAATTGACCGTAGCAATACCGATGTAGTTCCGGCGTTCCCGTTGTGATAGCGTTGTTCTACCGATGTAAGAGCCGATGTGCTACCGAATACCACTTTTCTGTCACGTCAGTATTACTGATGCTCCGCCGATGTTATACCGAGTCGCCGCCGTTGTTGTTCTACCGATGTGCCACCGTTGACCGGAGCTATAGCGGAGTGTTAGCGAACTGCGCTGCCGATGTTACGGTAGTACATCGTTAGTACATCGGCGGCGCATCATTACTACTTCGGTGGCATTCGGTAGGACTACGGTATTACATTTGTACATCGGTACCAGTACGGTGCACATTGGGGCCCAATAGCTACCAATATTACATCCCAACTTGTTATATTATTCTGACAACGGGTAAACGACTTTGGTATGTCTTGGTCTGGGGACAGAAACCATTACTTGCCCTCTGCCTTAGGAAAACGTTAAAATGATGTGATGACAGGCGAGGCACTAGAAAACAAACGTTGTTAGGGAATAAAGTGAAAACATTATCTTAAAAATTATTAGTAATTATCGTATATGTAATTCAGAATAGTTAAATAGGATTATCAGATTCAAATCATTGTGTCATATACATATATGTTGTTCAGTCTTTCACTAAATTGATGGAGTAAGTTTTTACGAGATGTCTGGGTTATAGTGGTCATTTTTTTATTGAATTTAACTGAATATGTTTTCCCTGTGTCTAACGTATATTTTCAGGTTGTCTCCCTTGTCACATCTTTGTAACAAGCACGTCATACTGAAGAGTTCACATTATGAAATTTCAGTGAGACAGTGATTGAAGACTGAATTTGAGTTATCCGTCAGTATCACATCTTTGATTATGTCTTACATGTACATATATCAATGTGTGTAGCTGTTGCGCAAGCGTAAAATATGAAGAACAAAATCAACAATTGTCGTGTTATTATTGAAGAAAGTGTAGCGATGGTTTACACTTCTCACTTACACACGTAGGTGTACGTGACGTTAAGAAAAAAAAACTGATTGGTGAACGCGAGACTGTAAATAAAAAAAGAAAGTTGTACCAGGTCACAACTTCCTGTCCTCTTTTCATTTCAGGTAAGTACACATCTTCCTAAACTTGCTGCACGTATGTCAATCTCTACCCAGAGTTTGTCGTTTATTTCACTCAGTTAAACGTAATTGAGTGTAAGGGACGACAACTCTGAGTTGCACGTATGTGTAGAGAAATCTGGAACCAGATTATATTAAACTGAACATATATAAAACCAGAAAAAGTTACAATGTGCAGGTCAAACCGGAAGTTGTTCAGGTTGCCCCGGAATGGTTGCGCACATATCAAATAGCATATATATAATTATTGGCATGACTAGTTAGATGTACATGATGGCTCTACAATCGTGAGAGAATCGAGACTTAGTTTAATTTTGATGAATATACATTGTACCTGTAATTCTCCCATGTATCGTATTATCGTTACACACCCCGGAAATGTATACCTTGGTAACTACACGTACTGTACATAAATGATAATAATGGTTTATTTTGCAGGTGCTCCGATGTCAAGATCTTCCGGAACCTCTCTAAAATTTTCAACGGAGAATCGGATAGCGTGCTTGTTTGTGAAATTAGTACTAGTTTACATCACATTGTTTGTCATGCCTCTTTAATACATGTCATAATCGAGAGTTATCTGCCCTTACGCCATTTTGTGCCATTGGTTGTCGTTGTTGTTATGGCAACTATTCCAAAACTCTAATACGCTATCATTTCGAGTCAATGACTTATTCGAATATGAAAATAAAACGATTCAATTGGCTAAACAATAAATATTAAAAAAATAAAGCAAAGAAGAGCAGAAATTGTCTGGCCAATGGACACTTTAATCAGAGGAAGATTTGATTGGCTGCCCAATTAACAATGGGAATCTGGAACTGGAAGTGTTGCACGCGCTGCGCTGGACAATGGAGGAATCTGATTCTTACAAGAAAGGAATTTTAATTCACTTAAGTGCGTGTATTTAGGACAAGGTGAAATGGGATAGGTATTGTGTCTGAGTATTACCTGTAATATAGTCTCCATGTCGACGATCACGATCCTGGAATTATTCAAGTCTTCTACACACCGCATGAAAGACAATCGGAGTGTCTACAAAAGTGATATATTAAAAAAGTGATGGTTCCGGTCGCGCATGCGCACTTTATATGTAATGATTTGTTTGGAGGTGGTATGGTAGGTAGGTTTTGTTAGTGGTTGGCCGTCTACTTGCTGGACAAGTTTTGATATCGTACAACATGCTTTGTATGTAAGTTAGACAGCTGTTGGTCAAATAACTGCCATCATCTTGTTTTTGGAAACACTACTGAAAATCTAAGATCGCCACTTTTCTTGCCAATGTTCAATGGATCACACTATACGCATGCGCACAGGCTGAAGAGAATTAAAAGTATGACTTTATCATGGACAAACAACTGTTCAGCCATATATTGTCAAGAGACGTGTTTCTGTATGATACTTATGAATGGAACAATATGGGACATCCTTTAAGAGAATACTCCATATATGGACGTGTAATATACGCATTTATGCACATGCGCGTGTTCGAGTAAAGAGGTTGGTGACTAGAAATAACATAGCGGTATAGTATATGAATATATACCTATGAAATCTTCTACCTGTGCTTATAGATATTGTATAATTCTACACGGCATTTGTCGATAGGTTGATTCACGCGACTGAAAATAGTATCGTGATTTCATCATTACGTCTTTCCTGTCGGTAAAGTCTTTTTTAACAATTGTGAAATTCCCTATGGCAAAGTTATCAGTGCAAAGGGAGACTACTCGTAGAAGAATAGGTTACTATCGATGCTATGACTGTTTTGCATGTTTAAATTTTAGATTGTTTATGTCTGACATCTACGACTTATTTATTGTTCAGAGAATGATTGAAACAAAAACAAAATGAAAAATTCGCTACTTTTGAAAAAAAAAATATCTTTGAAAACGATAGAAAAAATTCGATATCCTATCATACCGTGGAGTCTTGTGGATCGAGACTCAAACCACTCTGAAGTTCCTTTTTGTCGAGAACACATATCATTGAACTGAATGAGCTATCTAGACAACTTCAATCTCTATTAAATTAGTTATTTTTAATTATAATTATATATTGCAGTAATGTAATAAATATACATCATACAATGATTCAAAAACAAAAACAGAGCATCGATATTAATTCGTTTCCTGACATTCATTTAACGGCTTTGGGACGTCAATGTAAAAAACTTATCGAGAAGAAAGTACGTCATGCCTTATTAATCAAGGTAATCAATTTGGCAAATCAATTAAAAAAATATTTAATTTGAATTTTTCTATTTCCTATTGATAGTCCCATTACCACTGTCAATCGCTGTTATTACCCATCGGAAACTGTTTTTATGGCGTGACTATAGCTTCTGAAAAGAAAACGATATTTTGCGTAACTTTTATGAAAATTTATAAAGATAAAATGAACAAAAAATAACAAACAGCAGTGTTCTGAGTGTAAAAAGGTAATGGCAGTAGGCCGGAATTCAAGCAGTAGGCCGGAATTCTGGTGTTTGGATTAATAAACTATCATCACTATCTAGTCAACGGGAGTGCCGTTTTTATTCATTTATTTAATAGATTATTTTTGGATAATGGACTTAAAATGTTAAAGGGTTCGATAGGAAACATAACGATTTCATGACAAATATATGCCTCTTTTATTTCAAAAATCAGACTGATAATAATAATTAATCATCTTATATAACTAACATGTATGTGATGTAAATTGTTGTTGAATATTACGGCTTTCCATGTAAATAAATATTGGCAAAACAAATAGACATGTACATATATACTACAGTGTAAATACACCTTGCAAGAGTGAGTGGTTGTTCGTGGTTAAATGTACAGGAATAGAATTTCAGAATAACATAGCAATATCAATCTCTTATTTTAATAGAGCACCGAGAGAATTTTTCTGGACTTTAACATTCTGGTGAAACAAATTTCACTGCACACTGATGTATGTGAGAAACACGTGTGACTGTGAAACTGATTACTGGGGCAATGTATTTGTCGATCGATTTCAGTCTAGTCTTACATGTAACAACGGTAAATACATGTTTTTACTAGACACCCAAAGGTCGTGGCGGGCAATCGGTTTAAAATCAAAATCGATAACCGGTTTCTAACCGGAAGTAGTAAATCGATTGATGGTCAATTGCATGATTGGGTTATTAGTTTTTTATAAGATTATTAGTAGATGTATTTTCTTCACAAGATTTATAAAACCTCTGTGAGCAGAACAAGTCCAACTAAAAAAAGCTGTTTTGTGTCGTAATTTAATTAACTGGTTTCTACATGTCGTCGATGAAGTAGTTAACAGGTTACGTATTTCAAAATTCCAAAAATTGTTTACTACACAAGAATGAAAGGCTTAGCATTATTACATATTTCTTCCTATCATCTGTGTATGTTTGTGTGTTAAAAACGGCAACGTTTGTTAAAATTTATCCTAACCTGATGAATGACTTTAAAAACTACCAAATTCAAACAAAAAGTTATTGCACATATTGTGTTCATAATTTGGACATACATGCTATATTATTGTTACCTCTTGTTTCACATTTTGGTGTGAGTGAGCGTGAAATTAAATATTCAATATCATGTTACACTTGGGTCTACTTGTTACATCCGGGTGTGTTCGCTACATCCGGGTTATGTGTGTTTAAATACATGTTGCATGCATATGCATTATAATTTACCAGTTCAACTGTTAATGAATTATGTATATCCGGCATAAGTTTTCAACGTCCTGTTTTTTTATATTTGGACGTCTCTTGGTATGAAACGTATAGACTCGTTTTTAATTTGTCCATCTCGGTATCAAACTAAGCCTCGTTTTGTATTGGGACGTCTCGGCATTACATTAAGTTTGATTATTGATGTATTGAAAAATATACTAATTTTCATGCAAATCACGTGACTAATAGGTCGAAAACATTGCACGTATGTTTGTGTACGCGTTATATTGAATTCAACTCCCTAATTCTACAATAAAAAGAATTAAAAACGCCCAACGCTTCCAAAATGTGTGCGCCATTTTTGTATATGTCACGTTGCGAGGTTGTCAAGTGACTTATATATGGAGACGTATTGGCTGTTGTTGATCTGCCAATGGAACCTGTTGTTATTGCTTTGACGTGATTGTGCTTTAGGGAGAGTTTTTTTTAAAGCTTACACAAAAACTAGCATCATGAAGAAAAAATGATTCTTGCCGATTTGGCCTTCCCATGATGCTTTGGATTTTCGAAATCCTCCGACATTCTAGACTGACGTAGCTACTTGAACCATATTGGTACATATGCTACAGCTACTGTACACGTGAAATATTTCGCGGGGTGGTTATTTTAGTAATTTTAGACAGTGTGAATCGGCTACATTACTTTTGTGGGGAAAGATATACCAAAAAATCAACAGCGAAAATTACTCCCTCACTAGAAAGTGTATGTTTGTAGTATACAGCAACTATACTGAGAAGATTCTTATATATTATGTGTACAGCTTTTAATATACATGTATGTACTGTAACTATACTGAATCATTCCAATCGCTTACAGGGTAGGATAAGTATGTGTGCAATCATGCTTCAGTGTACGATGGCACATGTGCCTTACTATGACTTTACTTATATCATATTTTAACTATACTGATACAATACTGTAACTATACTGAATACATACTGTAACTATACTGAATCCATACTGTAACCATACTGATACCATACTGTAACTATACTGAATCCATACTGTAACTATAATGATACCATACTGTAACTGTACTGAAAACATGCTGTAACTATACTGATACAATACTGTAACTATACTGAATACCTACTGTAACTATACTGATACCATACTGTAACTGTACTGAAAACATACTGTAACTATACTGATACAATACTGTAACTAAACTGAATACATACTATAACTAAACTGACACCATACTGTAACTATACTGATATCATACTGTAACTATATTTGTATAATATTGTAACTATGCTGAAACAGATAAAATACGTGGTATCTAGAAAGTTATCATACTACAATTATACTGGAGGTATATAATGTAATAATACTGTAATTTTACTGGAACAAATACTAAAGGTGGACTGTTTTTTTAATAGTGAATCGAGATTGAACGTATTCATTAAAAATACTGCAGGTATACTGCCACTAAAACTGTAAGTACACTGTTAACAATACTGTCAGTATACTGTCACCAACACGGTAAGTATACTGTTAACAATACTGTCAGTATACTGCCACTAAAACTGTAAGTATACTGTAAATAATACTGTAAGTATGCTGTTACATAGAACAATACTGTAATTATACTGTAAACAATACTGTAAGTATACTGTAAACAATACTGTAAGTAAACTGTTAACAATACTGAAAGTATGCTGTTGCATGTACTTACACTGTAAATATAAATATACTGGTACACTGTAACACAACTAGAAGTATACTGGTAAGTTTGTATATGTCTGGAGCTATTCTTGAGTCGGTAGAAATGTTAATGCATTCATGTTGAATATGATATTCTTTATATAAGACTTGTTCCTAACTGTGCATGTGTTCTAGGCGACCCTGAATCATTATTATCATGTTATAATTATGCTTGAGATAATATGACAAGAATTCCTTTTACAATAAAACATTCCGCAATATACCTTTGCTTATCTTTAATGCCTTTTTAAAGGATTCCTGAAAAGAAACCCGAACCTAGCGGGACTGAGAAAATAACAAAGATTTAATCCAGTTTACATAATCAACAATAATGTTGTGAATGTAACAACAATTAGATGGGCTCGACCGGGCTATCTGGTTAACTTAGGTTTTCTTTTGTATCAAACTATGATATAGTTATATCTGAATTGAAATTAACTACGTCATGTAGTTGAGACATGGACCATGCTATGATCCTCTGTGTAGCTTTGTAACACTGAGTAGGCCAGGATCATGTCACAGAACCCTGTTCTACAAACAATTGTGTGAAATCTAGAGTTATCTACCGTTAACCGATTTTGGAATTAACCAAATAATACTTATATATATCCTTAGTTCTCTTTCTATTTAAAAGCACAATTTGAATGAAAATATTTAGAATATTCTCAAACGTATTCCTTTAACTGCTTTCTAGTTTAAAAAAAATAAGTAACACAAAACAATATACTGTAAAAACTGCACACCTACTAATATCGATTTTATTTTGTATAGAAGTGGTACCTAAATCAGAGTTACAAACAATTGAAAAATTTCACGGATATAAACAAAGCTTCACTAATTCCCAATTGGCCTTCAGTAAGCTAGTTTAAATTATAAACTGCTGCGATTCACGTCCAACAGGTTCCGTCTTAATGGAAGTTCCTTCAGAAGGCGGCCCTACTTTGGTAGTCGCCACTGACTGGAGTGGAAGATGTATATGGCGGTGCTGATACGACACACCTCCCGTAGAAGGTATACCCTGATTGCTGTTTGATTTGAGACTTTTAGTTTTCGTGATTGACGAAGGGGATTGAATATCAAATGATCCTCATCCTCGATACTCCAGGAGTGACGCTAACTTTCGCTCTCTACACTCCTGGAATATATACTAGCGGAAAAAAGAAACTGTGCATGCCTAAAATGTGTTATGAAAATAAATGTGTATGACGTAGAACAACAAGGTTTTTAGGGACAATGTATTTGTTATTTATTAACAGTTGCATTCCATTTTCCATGTTATGGAATCAATAAGTTCCGCCCAGAAGTGACGTAAACACAGCAGGGGTAAATACTGAGTTCACAAAGTTAATACCTCGTATGTCCACTGTTTGCCTGAATGCAAGCCTGGCAACGTCGACGCGTGGAGCCTATCAGACGGTTCAAGAATGCTTGAGGGATGGCATTCCAGATCTGTACCAAAGCTGCAGGCAAATCAGCCAACGTCACCGGTTGATTAGATAATGCCCGTAATCAGCGCTTTATTTCATCCCAGACGTGTTCAATGGGCGACAGATCGGTGGATACAGCAGGCCAGGGCAACACGTCAACGTTCTGTTGGGCCAGAAAGTCCATAGCGACACGAGCTGTGTGTGGCCTTGCGTTGTCCTGCTGTAGCGTGATGTGACGTTGAGCCCTTGCACGAATGGAACGACGTGGGTCGGGAGGATCTCGTCACGGTAACGTAGCGCGTTCAAATTCCCGTTAACAACCACCAGAGGCGTTCTACCGTTGGCTGTGATGCCGCCCCAAATCACAACGCTGCCTCCGCCGAAAGAACGTCGTTGTACCACACACGCGTCACGGAAACGTTTTCTAACGCGGCGATACACTCTGAAACGGCCGTCATTACTATCCAGGTTGTCCTGTTGACGTGACGTCACACGTAGACGTCCCGCATGACGTCGATCGCCGACATGGCCAAACTGTTGATGTCGTCTCCACAAATCCCGGATTGTGTTTCGATGGACATGAACACGTGTAGAGACAACGGCTTGGCCCATACCAGCTTGAAGCATATCAATAATCAGGAGGCGGTCATTTTCATTGAGCCTCTGCATAGCATTAATCACAAATTAAAACGTTATAATGCTGTTTTTACTGTTCACTGGTCGCAACAGAGTGACCCAACAGTTGAAAAATATACTTTCATTGTCGAATCGGATGGCTGGACGAGAAAAACGTGCAAACTGGTCAACGCCTATAGAGTGAAAACTGCACGGGAAAAACTGTCAATGACACACGAGTAGTGTGTATGTGTCATACTCGGTCATGTGTGTGAAATTTTCATGTATATACAGTTGGTAATACACTTTCTATAACAATTTTCCGCATGCACAGTTTCTTTTTTCCGCTAGTATATATGTACCTGGCTAACTTTATGATTTGTCTCGGGTAAAATAAACCTGCACAATTGCTTGGCTGAAACCTGCTCTTTGAAGATTACATGGGAGCGACAACCGACAGTTGGTCAATTTTACTGTTACGCGACCGCGATATTATTTTAAGGTTTGGTTTAGTATTGTTTAACGTCCTATCAACAGATGTGGTCATTTGAGAACGGCCTCCCCGGTGTGCAAGATTCATGCGTGCAGTGTATGTGTGTGTGTTTTCGGAGGCTGCGATATCTTCGTATTTGTCTCCTTGTGATAGCGCGGAACTGATGCCGACTTCATAGTGCTACCTCACTGAAACATACCGCCGAAGACTCGCAGCAGGACACCCGACCCGGTCACATTGTACTGATAACGGTCGAACCAGTCGTCCCACTCCTTAATTGCTGAGCGTTAAGCAGGAGTAGAAAAAACAATTTTTACAGACTCTGGTATTTCTCGGCCAGGGGACAGAACCCAAAGCCTTCCTCACTGGGGCGAACGCTCAACTAAGGAGGCATTGTCAAGGGAGACATCAGGAAGAAGAAAATTGTTTAGAAAGAAGAGAAAAGAAAATATCCCATTTAGTCGCCTCTTACGATCATGCAATGGGGTACAATTCTTACGCCCTACCTGCAGGGACGATTATTTCAAGGATCAAAGTAGTCTTCTAGTCTCGTCCACATGGTGGCGCACACAAATCTTTCGAATTTGTCATGACATATTTGAAGAGTGCAAAGAGCGAAAGTGAGCGTAACCCCAGGAGTATGGAGATGAATGATCCTCAGAGGTCAATTTTCATCGAACATTTCTGTACAGACATTGTTGGTTCTACCGGAATTGTTATAGGTTCATTTATCAACCTTGATATAGTTCGCCTGAAAAAAATGCAGCAAAACAAAGAAAGCACTTCGGCAATTCAAATGATTATCTCAATGAAAACGTATTTTTACTGAAACTTATGAAAACCCACATTACGACCCCCATCGCGCTAACATCCCGGCCAACAAGAGTGATGAATATATAAGTTGTAATAACTTGCTTTTATGATTGTTGTTAAACATATATATTTTATATTTATCACCATCAAAATGGCGCGACTGTTCTCGGAAATATGTTCAATGCTGAATGCAATATCTAACATAAGTAACAAACAAAATCTGTCGAGTCGTATCGACCAATAAATAATTATTATTTACTCTTGACGTTAAACTTGATCGAAAAAAAGTGTCCATAGTTTTAATGTGAAATCCAATTTGAATAGTTATTTCATCATTCCCTAACATACACCACCCCTATAGCAACATTACATTTACATATAAAAATTTCTCGAAATCGAAAATGTTGGTGTTGGTTCATTTGCATATCAAAAACGGCAAAGTAAATGAAATTCAGCATAATAAACCAATCGAACAGATCTTGGTATATATTCACTTTTATAAATTACAAAAATCACTCCTCGATTTCACCGCACAGCCTGACAGCATGTTAGATTTTTAGACTAATTAATTTAGTTTTGCTGAAACAGATTCGTTACAAACGTAAGTTATACGTTACTGTAACCGCGGGCTAATTCCGTGCTGTAACTAAATGTCTCGTCACGGTATTAAATAAGCTGAAGAATAGTTGATCCAAGGAGCAGATACACAAATAGATCTTTTTAAAATTAACAATTTACGATACTAGACCTAGTCGCATAGTTTCATTTTATATGCAAACCTTAAATTGGTGTACTTTTAATGAAATAAATCTGTAACATCGTGTCGAGGAGATTTTTATTCCTTTTATTACATTGAATGTATTCTTTCAAAACAAAGCCAGTCGTGACATTCCTGGCCAGACAAGGCTGTGCACATTGTTTGCAATTAAGGAATTCTCCTGAACTGCGACTCTCTGAAAAACTTGATCTTACTGTTACAGGTAGAAGGAACGTAGTTAGCTACTTAGCCGTTAACAAAACGCTGATTTCTTAAATTATAAGAATTGCGGCTCACAGGCATATAAACAAACGGATAACAATGAGCTAGGATATACCTATAAAATCACATAGATATGACATTGTGGTAACAACTCTGATGATGGCCGATATAGGTCAATACATATTCATACCATTACTAACTTTATTGGTGAACAGTTACCACGGGTGTTCTGGTTGGGTACATACTAAAGTACAGATTATATATAATGGACATTACATACATCCTCATGTACAAGATTAGTGAAAAACGCAGCGAACTGACTGTACCTTAAACATTTATCCTGTACAGTACATATACTACAATTGAAGATGGACAGTGTGTATATAATTGCATTATTATATTCAAATACATTTGTAAAGTGAAAAATGAACAATATATATAAGATGGCATTATAATAACCGGACGGAGCCTGAAAGGAAGAAAGCCAGTATCCTATAACCATCAGACGAACATATATATACCATGCGATCATATAATAAAGAATAAGTTAATACTACTATAGAATGTCACTGGTAACTTGGACGTACTAATAGACAGTATTGTATATATAAACTCACATTATAGAAAAATAGGGTTAGCATCAGAAACGGACCTCTGTAGATGCTGTTAGCTGCACATGTGTTTGAAGATTATCAAGAGATAATCTAAAATCAAAACAAAATCAATACACTGCTCCAAGAAAAGCACATTGGCTATTTGTACAAATCAGGAAAGATTTTGTGGCAGAATCTTTAAAAATAACTTAGGTGTTAGTCAAGGAGGTCTTATTTGTGGTTAATTATTTAATGATATATTTTTATATTCGGTTTTATGTCTCATAAATATGTACAGAACCCAATAAAGAAACTTCAACGCGGTAGATAAATGTTAATTTCCCATCGGGGTTGATTATAACTTTTCTCTCTACACTAAATTCGAGTACAAACGACTCAGAAATCATGGTAAATATGTTGTTATGTTACAATTTCAATTTATACAATTCGATTATTAATTATTTAACAACTGTAATAGGGAACAATCGGTACTTTCCATAAATGGCTGCTCTCTGTGTATGAAAATACACTCTCCAACTATTGTTCCAATTCAATGTTCCATAACTCTGACGCTTCCAGTCTTTCTTTCCACATTCACACATCCGTGAACCGAGATATTGGTTATTATTGCTGTAAATTGAATATTGAATTCAAAGTCACAGTGATATTATATTAATGTGACAAATATAACCCAGTCAATAGAAAATTCTGTCGATAAATGATTTATTAATGTATAATTATATAATTTCTCTACCACCTCTGCACAGGGGCATGCCACATGTGGTATAACGGAAGACATATATATATATGAGCCGTAGTACTACTGTAACGCTTACTATAGCATGTGACATGTCCCTGTGCACCTCTGTGCATTCTTGATGTCTTTTCAACCATTTGTATTTGATGATAGATAAGATATCGCTAATTATATTGGATTGACGTCACATGAAGCACGTGATGTGACATTGTTCATCAGAAGTAGGGACATGGGTTTAGTTTCAACTAGTTTGTAGTCGTAACCAAGAGCGTCAGTGTTTTTCTATGCAATTGTGGACAAAATCCGAACAGACAGAAGTAATCGTTTGATTTAAGCCATACACGAACTTATGATGGCAATGGAAACGAAACTAATGTGTTTGATAATGCTTTCTATCAGCATAGACGCCATTTTTGTGACTAAACAGCACACATTTACCAGAATACTGCGCGTGGCCAAACAGGATCGTAGTAATTATACACTCATTTCAAATAACAAAACGACAAATGTTGTTATGTGTGGAGCTCGCTGTGAAAATCATGGATGTTTCTCCTTCGCGTACTCAGATTTGGACAAAACGTGTGATACTTACTCCCGTGTGATTGTAGAGGAAGAAGGCGCTGCCGTGTCCGAAGTGATAATGTACTATTCTTTGAGTAAGTGTTTTTATTTACTACAGTTTGAGTTAACTTGATTTGTCATTGGTCAACTACTTTCAGAGATTTCGCCCATCTTAGATCACTGTTTGAATTATACCGTTAAAAGTTGAGAACACATGTTTTAGACCTCAAAAGTAATTATTTTGATTTAAACATATTTTATTAATTTGGGATAGCAACAATGCCACTAATTTTACTGGAATTAGATTCTGTCTGCAAAATTATACCGGCAAAAAACGGGGCATGTTAGACAGGCTCAAACGAAAAATGTCGACCACGACTGTAAACTTAATTTGCGACAGTATAATTACGATATAATGCCGCATTCGATACTTCTTTCAGTAAAAGAAGGTGTACATTTTCATCTTTTGAATGACCCCACACCTCACAAACGTATGTTAAATAGAGGTTACAGAACGAGTGGTTGTTGAATATGGTATTTATTTCACTCGAGTTAGTTAATTTTCAAAAATTACAAAAGACACGAGTTAAAGCGAGTGTCTTTCTGTAACTTTTGAAAATTAACTAACGAGAGTGAAAATAAATGCTATACTCAACAATCACAAGTCGTGTGATCTGTTTCTACCACAACCTCAGTCGGAAACCGCATACACGCATGTGTTTGTTGACAAGGCTGGCGTAGTAATATTACCCATATGGAAAAAGTCACTCATTAATATTCAAATATGACTTTTTTTTCTTTACAAATTTAATAATTGTCAAAATAAATGTGTTGGCAACAACTTCGTGAAAAAATATGTAGATGCACCTCTTTAAGTATTGAGAGTATGCAGTATTTCATTAATTTATATAAATTAACCGCAGACTATATGCGCGTACGCATATCGTACGAAGGCTGCCTCCCGCCAAGTGATGAAGACGAACCTATCGCTGTCAATGTCCAAAACCATAATAATAATATACTAATAATATACAACATTACTCTAAAATTACTTTAAAGCGCTTTACAACATATGGATAATAGTAATGGTTATAATTGAGAAAACAAAAAACAAAAGCTTACAATAACTTTTATACATTGAAGCAAGCAATGCGCACATAAATGAACAAATAAAAGGGTGGTATTTACAAGACGTCTTTGCAAGGATTCTAAAATGCAGATGTGAAGAGGTGAGTTTTGATGTCCCTCTTGAACTTGGCCAGGAAATTTGACTTTCTAATATCAGATGGTAAGCTATTCCACAACGTAGCCGAAACCCTCCCAAAGCATCTGTTTCCGTAGGTCACAGTACGAGATTTTGAGACACACAACAAATATTCAGACTCCGACCGCAGTTATCGTGACGGCTGTTACAGGGTAACAAGCTCCTGTAGGTTCTGAGGAGCTGTTCCATTCAGTGCCTTGTATGTGTATACCAGAATTTTGTACTGCTGCCTGTATCGTATATGTAACCAGTGCAACGGATAAAGCACAGGTGTGATGTGCTCTCTTTTTCGAGTACGAGTAACTAGCCGTGCTGCAGTGTTCTGGACCCTCTGCAGACGACTAGTTAGTTTGTCAGATATACCTCAGAGCAGGGCGTTACCATAATCCAACCGAGAGGTACAAGTGAATGCACCAAAATCTTGCATGCATCTGCAGTTATAAACTGCTGAATCAGCCGATGTTCCTGATCTGGTAGTAACAGGATTTGGCAATAGCATTCACTTGTTTCTCCATGTTCAGTGAACTATCAAAGTATACCCATAGGTTTTTTACAGCTGGAACAGTCTCAATAGTTCTGGCATCGACCTTGAGCCGGAGAGTCATCGTTTGCTGACACTTTGGGGAAAAGACGATTAGTTCCGTCTTTTCCTGTTTAAGCTAAAGCATGTTGGCGTTCATCCATATACTAATATCTGTCAGACAACCTCCAGACTTTCTGAGACTGTATTCCAACTGTTTTGTGTCATTGGCATAGCAATGATAGCGAAGGCTATGGCGACGACAATTCTCTCCAATCGGTTTGGAGTACATACAATATGTTCGTGGTCCTAACACCGACCTTTGAGGAACCCCGAAATCTAGTACTTTTTCATGTGAGGTTGAAGATCCGATGGCAACACACTGCCGTCGTTTACTCAGATAAGACTGTATCCAGCATAGTGCGGTATCAGTCACTCCATAAGAGTATTCCAGACGTTTATAAAGTTTGCCATGGTCGATGACGTCAAATGCAGCTGACAAGTCCAGCATGACAAGCACCGGTGTACGGCACGATTTCTTACCCGACACGATTTCTCACCCCGACACGATTTCTCACCAGGGTAAGAAATCGTGATGGGGAGAAGGCATATTATCCGGAATAATGATTATTGGCGATTGTGGTATATTTAGGCTTTTTTATAAAGGGTCTATTTCCAGCTATGTTAAAATTACACAGTAGCCTGCTCCCTCATAAATTTTGTTTCAGAACTGCTACGAAATTTAAGCTGCTGTTTTAACTTTTTTCAATCCCTTATACATCCGATGATATTACTTTGAATCAATCTTCTAAATATTAGGTGATTAATTAACCTTATTACAGCATGGAGGTCGAAAATGGGATATTAGCCCGAAAGTATTTTTCTGAAAAATAATCGTATTTTTTGCATCGTATTACTTGGGAAAGGACGTTTACTCTCATGTAGTGCTGTAATAATATATTTATCATCCAGAATGTGAGTTAAATCGAATATCTTATGAAAATTTTAATGTAAAATATAGGATTTTCAATCTTATTATTCTTTTATATCAAAAATTATCATAGTATGAAGAAGTGGTGTTATTTCAAATATGTTTGCAAAAATTCAGTCCAAAAATGTTGTGGAAAGTATTCATTTCGCACAACAAAGTACCCAGTGTGCCAAAAGAGGTGAGGGCCTTAGACACCTCCCTGGCGTCCACTTAAAAGCAATGCACCTAATTACAGGTAATTGGTTATGAAATTCGTAGTAAGCCTACAATAAATCTTTCAGTGCATGTTAGGTCACAAACAATTCCAAATTCCAATTTATTTCATCACTTGGCGTGATTTAACAAACAATTTTGGGATCAAATGTAATTTTCTTGTCACTTTTTAGAATTTGTTCTTATACATTTTTAATTTTTTATACATTTTATCATCAGACTTTCGTTTGAAAATCTATAATGGCTTTTGGATATACTGACTTAAAGGGACTAAAGAGAATTTGAAACAGAACGTTTTGAAGATGAAACCACTAGTAGTTTTGTTTTCTTAACACTCAAGGACCTCAATGATGAAGCTGGTCATCTGAAATAATTGGTGACCTTTTAGAAGTGTCGTACATCTTGTCAAAGAATCAATCAGCTTTCATTCTCAATTTTTGTATTTTGGATGACCCTGGCTGCAAAGCTAGAACAGGTTGGTCAAAGAACAGTTTCTCAAAATCCATATGTAATTTGCCCCATTTCTGTCTTCTTCAGTATATAACAAAGCTGCACGAAGTGCTCTTTTACTGTTTTGGGTTAAGATATAAAAACTGATTTCTCTTGTAATTAAGTGTTTCGCTCTTGGTATTTCTCTGCCTAGTATTCCAAAAACCTTTCAGTCTGTAGTACAAGCATTGCATAAATCTATAGTTCCAGTGTTCCTTCGTCCTGACCATTTGAGTAGGGAACGTATTTTCATACAATCCTGTATTCTCAGAAACATTCTTGCGGGACAGAGTGACTGCCATACCAGATGGTACATATATATCAATATTTTAACAAAAATGCTCTCAATAAGCTTCAGAGACTGCTAACGGTGGCCAGAAGGAGCATATTTATCCATGAGCATAACTCTACCGGATGGCTACATTTTGAACACAGTATGACCATTCTCTGGAAGCCAAAATGATGCAAGCATTACAAAAACATCATAGACAAGCTCACATGGTTGGAGCAAGACGACAATGCAGTCGTTGGTCGTCGTTTTAGAGACGTCCTGCCAATGTTAGAGGTATCTGGTATTAATACCAGTATGCACGCATATTATAAGACTGGTCAGAGTCAACACTCTGATCTACAGGCTAACATTGACAGAACAGTTACTACCTCCCCATGGATTGTGTCTTTTCATTGCCGTATTAAGCATTAGATAGTTTTTTGAACTCAATTAGTATCAAATTTCTTCATCGATATACTTATTGTGCTAAAGTTTGTGACTGCATGTCTCAATTGGATACGGGGACAAATTTATCAAAGATCATCGGACACTGATAGAAAAGACAGAGAACTCGCACATCAAATGAAGATTCATCTCACAGAAACAAAGAGTTGGGCTCAGAAGGTGAAAACAACCAGTCCTCTCCAAATGAACACAGTCAGAATTCGTAAAGATTATGAAATATGGGTGAATCAGCACTATCAAGACCTCATCTGTTGCCAGATTTGTTCCAGACACAAACGCCAGACAAAAATAATGTCTGGATTCAGTACAGCACGACACCAAATGATAATAATCCAATAAAAGATTACTACTGCCAATGCCCAGTTGGTCAAAGAAATATGGGAATGTATGCTCATACATCAAGTATATATTATTATCTTGGCCATTTTAGAATTCTTTAAAATCCAAAACAGTTTGCACCAAAGGGCTAAGATGTTCCGACAAATCTTGAAATAAGCTGTTTTCTTGTGAATCTAGAATCACCAGTTTGAAAACAAACTCAAAAGCATCTTTGTTTTTCTTCCTTCCTTTTCAAAGTCTGCCATCGAACACATATTGCAAGAAAATTGTCTTGGAATCTGACAACTGATTAGGCAGTAGAATGAATGTTTTGGTGGCCATCTTGAAAAGAAATATACCAACAAATCTTTTCGAAACATGTTCTTTGTTTATTAAATATTCATTCCATTTAAACTGGAACAAATATTTTTTTCTTTTCTGTAAGTTTCAGTTCAGTTATAATGAATAGACTATACACATGGCCATGAATTCTGATGTATAGACCATATGGTCATTTGATCCCTTCTTGAATATATTCAACCACATATTTTGGATTGATATATT